CGCGAGTTTGAGTTTACCTTGAAAAAAAATTAGATATGAGTACTTCAGGAAGTTGAATGCGAAACTTCTAACAAATATCGTTGCTGTTATCTAAGAAATGTAAAGTATTTGTAGTATAAATATAAAATGTGTACCGTGCAAGTTTCGAAATTAGACTCACGAGTTTTAAAATATCTCTACATAACATGCGTTCTCTCTCTCTTTCGTTCAAAACATATGCAAAACATGCAATAACGAGGAAGAAATATCACACTCGTATGATGAAATTTTCGGAGCAACGTGCGCCGATCGCGTCATCTTTGCGCGGTAATATACTTTACGGCGATTCAGCAAGTGCCTTGCTTTTTCGGCTACGTGACCAGCCGCATGTAAGGTATGCGCTCACTTTATTCCCTGTCAAAGGCTCACAATCACTTTTTGTAAAAAGCGCACGGTCATCCCACGGATCTCTCATAACGGTCGTCGTTGCTTTCTACGTATTTTCAGTCATAATATACCACTGTATTATGTCGTTGATAAACTGAGCCGCGTCTTGTTACCAACGCGCTGCATTGACGTGGCAACTGAATCCAACACAGAATGTTGAAGCTAGAAGTTTTAATTAATGATAACATTAGTAAAGTAATATTTATTAGACGCAAGCAGCCTAATATAAATATTAGTAAGAAGATTATAAATAATGATAGATGAGCATATATTTTTATCATAATATTTATTAATTTCTCTGGGATATTACGATTTTATATTCGATACGAAATACGCTCATAAAGCTATTTTGATTAATAATAAGAGAAATTTTTATCAATAGTAAAATAAAATAATATATAAAGAAGTAAGATTCTTAATATTTAATGCCAAAACAACGCTCTTAAAATTATAAATTTCTTGATAATAGTACGATTCGCTGTATCTATGTATAGATAAAACAAAATGAGAATAATGCAAATACAAGTTTCCTAATAACAATACGTTCGTCATTACATTGGCGCAAAAACAAAATTTAATGTCATCAGAAAGAACAATTTCGTACAATAATTAAATTTGTACAGCAATAAAGTTAACGATCTTGTGAGGCCTACGTCGAAATATGTAATATCGTAAAATTTTTAAGGTAAAATTTTTTTTTTTTTATACTTTATGTATTTGCAGAATGTAATTTCTTTTCTTTAACGTCACTTTATATTTTACGCGACAGAGGTTTCTCAAATGAAGCAACACCATCACGTTCAAAATTGCCTCCCGTTTATATATTCATTATAAACGTTTATTAAACGTTTATTATTAACGACAAGCTTGCATATTACGACGTTTATGTGCCAATTCGATGTTTATGTGTCATTTGTACGATTAACAACAAATCGACGGAAAATAAATAAACGTTTCGTCAGTTTTCAAAATTTATCGTGTCTGACTAGGAGTGTCAATCGGGTCATGGGCTTTATATCGCTCGTTAAAACCGAGACATCTACGGCATTTATTTTTGTCTATACTACGCACTAGTTTCAGAGAACAGAGATATACATAAGACGTATTGTGAAAAAGAATTACTTTTGATTGACGTCGATGACGCGATTAAATGGCGCCATCACGCGATGATCGACTTGCGTAAAGATCGTAAGTGGCACCAATGGATCGGGTAAAATGTGAAGGTCATTTCGGTCAAAGAGAGGCTCGTCGCATACGACCAATCAGTGCTCGTTCTAGAACGCCTTTCAGTCAGGAATGTGCTGGCTTGCATGGTATAATAACACCGAACCGCACGTGACGATCGTGGGGAGAGACGAGAGTCGGGCTAACGTCGACTCCAACATGTAATGTGAATTCTTTGACGTCAGATTACGTCAAAGATACTGAATTCTCGATTGAAATATCTCCATTTTAGAGAAAACGCATGATAGTGACATCGTTGTCAAAAATATATGAATTAAAGGAAATATCAATGGAAATATATATTCTACAAAAATTATAATTTTGGCGCTAATCGAATTGAAATTTAAATAAAATATCTCCAATTCTCTCTGCTTTGTGCAAATTAATGATCTAATTATAATATAATATAATTATAATATTTAGTTTTTTAAAAAGAAGCTTAAGCTATGTTAAGATAAATTTCTTTCTGTACCGCGTTTGGTACTTACATCTTTATTGTTATCATTATTTTCAAAATGTGTGATGGTCATTTAAATCTTTCAAAAATAACAATTTATATATATTATTATTAACAGAGAACGTTGAGAAACAAACTTGATAGTTTATAACTTATATTATAATTTCCTAAGAATTTTTTTTTAATATTTATATTTAATTTTATATCCATA